GGAGGAGGAGGAGAAGGAGGAGCTAGGAGGATAGGGAGGCGGAGGAGGAGCAGCAGGAGGAGGAGGAGGATGAGGGGAGGCGGAGGCGGAGGCGGAGGCGGAGACGGAACGGGAGGAGCAGGATGAGGAGGAGGAGGAAGCGGAGGAGGAGCTAGGAGGATAGGGAGGCGGAGGGGGAGGAGGAGGAGGAGAGGGAACGGGATGAGTAGATGGAGGAGGAGGAGGAGGAGGAGGAGGAGGAGGAGGAGGAGGAGGAGCTATGAGGATAGGGAGGTGGAGCTAGGAGGATAGGGAGGCGGAGGAGGAGGAGGAGGAGGAGGAGGAGCAGGAGGAGGAGGAGGAGGAGGTTGTCTGGAGGCAGCGCTTTGTTCACCGTCATCGGGATCATGAACTCGTGCGCGCCTCCGCCATGTCGCAGGAGGATGCAGCGGCGAACGTAGTTGCCCGCTGCCTGGGGCCATGGGGCGCCCTGGGGAGCCTGGGGGGCCTTCCCGCGCAAACGTGATGTCCGGCACTGGCGGCGCGTGGGGCGTGCGCGGCTCTCCGCGCAATGCGTTTAAGCAAGGGGTTCGGCATCGGCGCGCCCTCGCCCTCGGCGGGCGGCCGGCGCGAGCCGGCGGACATGCGGCGACGGCGGCTTCGTGCGCGGAAGGCTGGCAGAAGGCGCAAGAAACTCACCCGGATCCGCGGCCTCGCAGCTGGCGCCTGGGGCCGCGGCCCCTCGGATGCGCGGCGCTCTTCCGCGGCTGCCCCGCGGGGAACGCATCCGCGCGACTGCGCAGCCGCGAGGTCGCGCCCTGGGGCCCAGACCGCGAGGGCGCGGATGCGGATGTGTTCGCGCCGTTCGTGGGAGGCGTCCGCATCTTGGGATCCTGGACGTCCGGGGCCGCGCGTGGCTACGGGGTGGGCAGGGAGCTCGGCGCTGGCGCGCGCCGCCGCCCCCGCCGCCGCGGCCCCGCGCCGCGCCGCGCCGCCCGCGCCCGCCCGCGAGCGCCACCGGCGCGAGGTGCGCGCTGGCGGCGAGGCTCGCCCGTGCGCAGATGGTCGCCATCCCCGTCGCCGCGCGCGGGCGCGTTCCTCCCGCGGCCGCCTCTGGCGCGAGGCGACGAGGGCGCGCGGCGCGCGGCCCGGAGCGCTCGCCAGGCCCCGCGCGCGGGCGCGCCACGGCCGCCGCGTTTGTTGGGCGCGCCGCATCCGTTGAGCACGAAGCTCTTTTGGAGGGGCCAGCCTGCAGGGAAACCGCGGCCGCCCGAGCGCGCGACGGCCTGGGCCAACGCTGCCACCGATTACGGCGACGTTCACGACGAAGACGATGGCGACGACGTTCACGACGACGACGATGATGCGAATGAGCGGCGACGACGACGACGACGACGATGTTTGCGATTACGAAGCCGATGAAGATGTGGATGGCGGTGGTGGTGGTGGTGATGCTGATTGTGAAGATGATGATGACAGTGGTCAGCATTATGTGGGTGCTGGGCATGACAATGTCTACGATGTTTAGGATGGAGCGGATGGGTCTGATGATTGCGTTGTTGCTGATGATGGCGATGACGAGGAGGATGCTGACGTTGACCATGGCGACGACGACGACCACGACGACGATGCGGATGATGGTGAAGATAATGATGACGATGTGGATGAAAGTGGTGATTCTGGCGATTGCGATGGTGCGCATGGTGGAAGACGCGGATGGTGTGATGATGCATATGGTAATTGCGATGATGACGATGTTGATGGATATGGTGGCGATGGCGGTGATGGTTGTGACGATGGTCGTGATGATGTGACATGCTGATGATGTGCATGTTGGTGATGATGTTTGTTGTGGTGGTGGTGATGATGAGGAGCAGGAAGAAAAGGAGGAGGAAGAGGAGGAGGAGGAAGAGGAGGAGGAGGAGGAGGAGGAACAGGAGGAGGAGGAGGAGGAGGAGGAGGGCGCATATCATGCATAGCGCACAAGCGCGATCGACAGCAGGAACTGCCAGATATGGGCTGATAATGAAACCTTGTTGCTTGCCCTCGCCCACTGTTCTGTTTCCCATCACTTCTCACCCCCCCCTCCCCCCTTCCCCTCCCTTCCCCCCGTTCCCGTCCCTTCCCCTCCCCTCCCCTTTTTCCTCTCTTCTCCCCTCCCCTCCCTTCCCCTCCCCACTCCTCTCTTCCCCGTCCTCCCCGCCTTCCTTTTTCCTATCGTTTCCCCTCCCCTTTTCGCTCTCCCTCCCCCCCAAGGCGGAGGACTGTAGAATGGACGCTGTGGTCCAGACCATCCGCAAGCTGGGGTCCGCCGTCGAGCTCCTTGAGGGCCGTGTCCAGACCATAGAGCAGGAGCGAGGAGGAAGGGGAGGTGGATAGGTCGGACGGGCCGAGTATCGAGATGCATCCCTTCCAAAACGTTCCAGAACGCTCTCAGGGTGTTCTTGCACGCTGTGGGACGGTCGCGGCGCCCCATATATCCTCCAGACCCGCCGATTCTCAAAGATTTCCTATGTGTGTATTGGTCCGATGTTGTCTCGATTGGACCTGTGATTTAACAGGTGGAGGTCTAAACAGGGGCAGTCTGAGGATGAATCGCCAGAGCAGGATGGCCAGGAGGAGCGAGAGGAGGAGGAGGAGCAACAACAGCATGAAGGGGAGACATGGACACGAGTGGGGAGGCACAACAAGGGCAGAGGGTGGAGGAGGGTCAGGAGGAGCGAGGAGGAGCGAGGGGCGTGGCGGCGGTGGAGGAAACGGAGGAGGAGGAAGAGGCGGCGACACATATTGCCTCGCAAGCGCGTGCAGTTCTTCAACGGGGACATTGATGACAATCGAACGAGGGAGGCGGGCGGATGCGGAGGAGGCGGAGGAGGAGGAGGAGGTGGCGGAGGAGGAGGAACGAGGAGGAGAGAAGAGGAAATACAAGGAAAGAACGCGCGAAGGCGAAGAGGTGGAAATACGCGGAGTGTCTGCCAGACGAGGCGGAGGAGGCGGAGCAGGCGACGGAGGACGCGGAGGAGGAGGTGGTGGAGGAGGAGGAGGAGGAGGAGAACAGAAGAGGAAAGATGAGGAAAGAGGAGGATACAGGAGAACCGATGAGGAGGAGGCGGAGGAGGAGGAGATGGAGGCGGAGGAGGAGGAGGAGGAGCAGGACGAGAAGAGAAAGAGAGAGAGAGAGAGAGACAGGGAGAGGAGGAGGAGGACTAGACGGAGGAGGTAGAAGAGGAGGAAGAGGAGGAGGAAGAAGGAGAGGAGGGGGAGGAGTAGGAGGAGAAGAACGGAGGAGGAGGAGGAGGAGTAGCGGGAGGAGGAGGAGAAAGAGGAGGAATAGGAGGAGGAGGAAAGAGAAGGGGGTGATGTTGATGATGATGGTGTTGTTGATGATGACGATGATGATGAGGACGATGTGGACGATGATGGCGATGAGGACGACGATGATGCTGATGATGATGAGGATGATGGTGATGATGATGATGATGATGATGATGATGATGATGATGATGATGCGGATGTTGGTGATTGTGATGATGATGCTGATGGTGCTGGTAATGAGGAGGACTATGATGAGAGAGTGAGGACGGTATGTTGATGATGCTGTTGATGCTGATGATGATTATCATGGCGACGACGATGAGGATGTTAATGATGACGTTGATGGTGATGACAATGATGAAGATGAGGGATATAGTGATGCTGATGATGTTGATGGTGATGCTGTAGGTAATGATGCTGATGATGCTGATGATGCTGGTGGTAATGATGAATCATGGTGTTGATGTTGATGCTGATAGTGCTGATGATGCTGAGTCTGAGTATGGTGTTACGTATGCTTGCTGTTGACATTGATGAGGCGTATGATGGTGATGTTGATGGTGTTGATGGTGATGATGTTGTTGATGATGGTGATGCGGATGCTGACGATTGTGCTGATGCGGATGTTACTGCTGGTGGTATTGACGCAGCGTATGATGATGATCATGATGCTGGTGATGATGCTGATGCTGATGATGATGGCGATGATAATGGTGATGTTGATGATACTGATCATTGTCATGTTCATGATCATCATGCTGATGATACGGCTGATGATGCTGGTGATGCTGCTGATGATGCTGATGACGATGATCGTGCTAATGATGGTGCTGCTGATGCTGATTATGCTGATGCTGATGATGCTGCTGATGATCAGTATGCTGCTGGTGGTGGTGATGATGGTGATGGTGATGGTGATGATGATGCTGATGCTGAGGATGCAGATGAGGATGATGATGATGATGATGATGGTGATGATGATGCTACTGCTGCTGATGATGATGATGCTGATGATGCTGAGTATGATGGAGCTGATGATAATGAATATGCTGATGACGATGGTGATGGTGTCGAGTATGCTGATGCTGATGGTGATGATGCTGATGTCGATGATGGTGCTGCTGATGATGATTATTGTGATTATGATGATGAGAATGGTGATGCTGATGCTGATGCTGATGCTGCTGATGATGATGATGATGATGATGATGATAATGATGATGATGACGATGATGATGATGATGATGATGATGATGACGATGATGATAATGATGATGATGATGATGATGATGATGATGGTGCTGATGATGATGATGATGATGATGCTGATGATGATGATGATGATGCTCATGATGATGATAATCATGTTGCTGATAATAATGATGATGATGATGATGATGATGATGCTGATGATGACGCTGATGATGACGATGCTGATAACGATGATGATGATGATGCTGATGCTTCTGCTGATGATGATGATGCTGATGATGATGATGATGCTGCTGATGATGCTGATGATGATGCTGATGATGATGCTGATGATGCTGACGATGAGGAGGAGCAGGAGGAGTAGGAGGAAGAGGCGGAGGAGGAGGAGCAAGAGGAGGATGAAGGAGAAGGAAGAGGAGGAGGACGAGGACGAGGAGGTGGAAGAGGGAGGACGAGGAGGAGGAGGAGGAGGAGGAGGAGGAGGAGGAGGAGGAGGAGGAGAAGGAGGAGAAGGAGAGGTTGGAGGAGGAGGACGAGGAGGAGGAGGAGGAGGAGGGAGGAGGAGGAGGAGGAGACGGAGGCGGATGCGGAGGAGGAGGAGAGGCGGACCGGGGGATGAGGAGGAGGAGGAGGAGGAGGGGAGGAAGGAGGAGGGGGAGGAGGAGGAGGAGGTGGAGGAGGAGAGGAGGAGGAGGAGGAGGAGGAGGAGGAGGAGGAGGAGGAGGAGGAGGAGGAGGAGGAGGAGGAGGAGGAGGAGGAGGAGGAGGAGGAGGAGGAGGAGGAGGAGGAGGAGGAGGAGGAGCAGGATGAGGAGGACAACGATGAAAACCAGGAGAGGGAGGAAGAGGACGATGATCAGGAGGAAGAGGAGGAGGATCAGGATGAGGACGAAGGGGAGGAGGAGAATGCGGACGATGATGAGAAGGAGGAGGGGGAGAAGGAGGAGGTGGTGGAGAAGTCGGATGCGGAGGAGGAGAAGGAGGCGGAGGCGGAGGAATGGGTCTTGGAGCAGGAGGGGGAGGAGGGGGAGGAAGCGGAGGAGGGGGGTGGAAGAGGAGGAGGAAGAGGAGGAGAGGGAGACGGAGGAGACGGAGGAGGGGAGGAGGAGGACGAGGAGGACACGGAGCCTCTCCTGGGTCCCAATCCTCCGTAGGAGTCTCCCTCTTGCCCAAGGTGTGCCCCCCCGAAGAGACGCTCCTCCACTGGCTCTGGAGTTGCCCTGCCAGTCGCCATGTTTCGGTTTTTAAAGCGATAGTTCAGTAGGCAGAAGATGGTGGCCAAGAGGCGCCCAGCTTCTGGCTTAGAGGCTTGCCGCCCTTGGCCTGGTGCGTGATTGGGTCGGATGGGTCGGGGGGTGAGGACTCGGCCGATCCTAGGCTTAGTCGGTGTGGTTCGGTTTTTGCGATCCTCCGCTCAGACCAGCTAGCCCACAAAGGCTGGGCCGTAGGACCCCTGCCAATCGACCACGAATCAGTTCCAGCAGTAGAACTTTCCGACATCCTGAGAGCTGTCCAGTGCTTTGCAGCTGTTCTGCGTCATTGATAATGAAGGAGTTGTCCAAGGAATCCGAGCGGGTCCGAGGTTTAAGCGCACGATGCTAGATTTCCTCTGGAGAGCTTCCTGGGGAGCAGTCGATGATCGCCCCATCCAGGAGCGGCACATTCGCTCCCATCTTAGCCTCGAGGATGCCAATACGAGGAGACTCACTGGCAGGTTAATCGTCTAGACGACCGTGCGGCAGATGAAGCTGCTAGGATGGCAGCCGTCGCCAGATAGTCGAGAAGGATAGTCTGCATTCGCAGGTGATCGATTCGCTCCTGGCGGTTCCCTTGTCTTTTTAGGCAGGCGCCAACATTTTAGAGGGCGCGCCGCTGGATCACCTAAAGGGGGGGGGGCGGCCCCCCCCCTCCCTTTCCCCTTTCGCCACGCCGCCCCCTGGCTCCGGAACCCGACCCCTAGCGCACCCAACCAACCCTCAACCGAATCCCTGCCCCAACCCCTAACCCTTAACCCACCCCCCCACTCCTAACCCTAACCCCTACCCTACGCCTAACCTTACCTGTATCCTTACTTCTTGTGATTAAACACCCCCAACCCCCACCTAGCCGGCCGATAGCAACCCCGCCGTCCTAACTCTTCAGAAGCAGTTCAAACTTAATTTTGTTCTCGCCAACATGTCGTCGAGTTGCGACAAGTGCATCAGGAATGGGACGGAGTGAACATCGCCAGGGTAACCCTAAGCGGGTGGTCGCGTCCTACCTTCCAAAAAAAAACCCATACAAAGTGCACGTTTTCTTCGACAACATTGACGTTCTTTTTGTCGACGCTGCGAAAAGTGTGGCAGGAATGGGACGGAGTGAACATCGCTCGGGTAACCCCAAGCGGGCGGGCGCGTCCTACCCATCAGAACACCAATGCAAAGTCAACGTTTTCCTCGTCACCATTCGATTTTTTGGCGTCGACGCTGCGAACAGTGTAGCAGGAATGGGACGCAGCGCACATCGCTCGCGGACGCCTGGCCAACCCCACGCGGGACCCCCCGTCTGACCTGCCAGAAAACACCACAACGCCGACGTTTTTCTTGCCAACATGTACTTTCTCCTCGTCGCCGCTGCGACTCCCGCAGCGGGAATGGGACGCGGCGCACATCGCGCGGGGACGCCCGCTCGTCAACATTGACTTTCTTGTCGTCGAGGCTACGGCCCGTCGGGTTGAAGAGCAGGGCGGGCGGCGAATCAGAATGCCTCAAGCAAGTGTGGTTCGCCGCCGGCGCGGTCGCTATCGCGTCCGAACGTCTAGCCGCCCACGATATAAGAAGAGCGACA